GACTCTTTCATTTTCCCAAAATCGATTATAACAGCTGAATACTGTTCTTCACAGTCACTATAACCAAGTAGTATAACTATGTTGTCACCTTTGATGTCACAATGAATATAATTCTTGTTATGTATGTGGGCAAGTGCATTGCAGCATTGTGTGAGTATGTTAGCCCACTCTGATAAAGTTGCAAATACCTTCTTCTTGGAGGCTTTAGCAAGTGTTAGACAGCGTCCACTAATTCTGTAGAACTCCAGCACAACAAAATGAGGTTTACAGGTAGTATTCACACCAAATACAAATGGCAAGCCTTAATATAAAATTAAAGAAAACAAGTTTAAACCTGTGGTGATCTAATTGCACTTTTTCCTAGAAATTGTTATTTGTCTTACTTTTTCAGTAGAGATGAAAATATATTGCCTGTTTATATACCATACGAGTACAGTGTTTCAGTAAGTTATTCCACAGGCACAGGAGGACAAGACGTAGTACAGTATATATAGTCAATATTATATGAGATATAAATTATATAATATCTGAATGAATATTCATGTAAATAGAGTGAAATACTGTAGCTTGCTTTAAGTTTATTTGATAGTCTACTCACCTTTTTATCATGATTCCAAGAAATTTAAATGAGTTCTGATCACATGCTCTAAGGGATTCTCCTTAGCCTTACCCCTGTAGAGCATGTGCATCAGAACTCATTGAAATTTCTTGGAATCATAATAAAAAGGTGAGTAGACTATCAAATAAACTTACTTAAAGCAAGCTATTTCACTCTATTGAATATTCTTCATTCAAATTCCTATTATACAATTTACAGTACAGTAAACTCATATATTAATTTAATGAAAAATATGCCTGTCCATGGTGGGAATCGAACCTGCAGGGACGACCTTTCGAATACTAGCCCAATGCTCTGCCAACTGAGTATGGTGTCCCATCCCCGCCAAAAATCAACTTTTTATTTTCATCACAACTTTTTGTTTGCAACACAACTTTTTGTACACAACATGTAATAATCAACACAACTTTTTATTTTCAACACAACTTTTTTTTCAACACAACTTTTTTTTTCAACACAACTTTTTTTTTCAACACAACTTTTTTTTTCAACACAACTTTTTTTTTCAACACAACTTTTTTTTTTCAACACAACTTTTTTTCAACACAACTTTTTATTTGCAACACAACTTTTTTTTTCAACACAACTTTTTTTTTCCAACCGCAATCCACTAATATATCATGGATCGCGGGCTCGTTTTGTGACCATATATCGCGGGCTTGCTACCGATGTTCTATTTCCTAAAATTCTTCATGTAATCTATGGTATAATTAAAATACACTGATACTATAGTACAGTCGAGCAAAATGGACGATGATGACAAACAATATCTGTTGGACGCAGTTCATAGCGTGATTAATATCCTTGATAGATTTATGCAGTCAGGAGATACTTCGATCGATTTCCAAAGACTTTTATTAAAACTAGACTATCTCCAACGGTTGCTCGTGAATTTGGATGTCGATGATTCAGTTGTTGAACGTGTACAACAAGCATCAAATATTTTGTTTAATCTTGACCAAGCAAACAACGGGAACACAGAATGTAGCGAAACAGTGCCAGTAGTAAACTGTGGAAGGAGAGGCCGACCAAGTTTCGATATCAAGGAAGACCAATTATCATTTCTTGTAGAAAAGGGATTTAAAGTAGCCGATATAAGCAAGGTGATCGGAGTTAGCCAACGGACAATTGAACGAAGGATGGCAATGTTTGGACTTTCTATTGCAGGTACTCATTGCTGTAGTATCATTTATTTGCTTAAAAGTTTGACATTTGACAATAAAAACTCTTGTCTTGAGCATTGTTTTAATATTTTCATAAAAAACCTCTGGAGCTGCCCACCCTCACAATTGCAATCCCATGCACACAAAGGTATTAATCTGTAAACCCCGTGCTATATATTTTGAAGATATTTTAAATTAAAGTGCTTATGGAACGAAATTTTTACCTCATTTTTTATTGTTTTTCTAAAAAGTATTGCTGGAATGATGAAGAATGACCTTTACAGTCTCTTCATATCTCATCTTTTTCTCAAGTTGTCGCAGTTTCTATATTTATATGTCACAAGTATGACCCGAGATAATGGCAATATTACAAAAAAGTCTTATATCTTAGTGGGTATTTAATAATATTTAATGAAACTTCGAGGGAGTGGTCATTACTTATGGGAGGGGGGGGGGGGAAATTGGAGGGGGTTGGGGCAAACAAAGTAATACCCTTATAAATAGGGGGTCAAAAAAGTTTTAACACAGAGAAAGGGGGGGAGGATCAAAAAAATGTTTGAACTTAAATACCATGTCTAAAAAGACGACTCTGAAAACGCCATTTCCAACGATCTAGAGACTCAGAATTTTCAAAATTTCCCTGCTCGGCACCAACCATGGTAACACCTTGTGGGAGTCAGGCCCACTAAGTTTAACAAGCTTTCAACCCCCTGAGTAACCCAGTTGTGGTATTTACATAAACATACCACACTTAACTGCATAGATGCATTTTCATATTTTTTACTGGGGTGGTGCCAGAAATTTCAGGGAGGTGAGCCGTGAGCAGGTGACTGAAGCAACACAAAGTGTCACCAAACCCCAGTAAGGTCTATATTCTAGGGGTGGAGCACTAGAGCCACAAGGGGGAGTCTAGAGAGCAGAAAACAAAGTATCCCTGGAAAAAATCATGATTTCTAGCTTTGAAAAAACGTTTTTTGAAGTTGTCATATCCATGGATTTGGCCTGTCCGATTGTCTGTTGAGACTTGAGAGAGTTAAAGTTAAATGAACCTGTAAAAGTGTAAACCCAATAGACCAATTACACAATATGCTTTCACTTTAAAAAGTCATTGACATTGTGTCATTTGAATCCGAGTACAATTTATGATGCAACTCCGATGTAAATAATATTTGGGGCATAAGATTAAATCTAGGCAAGACTATTTCCTAAAAGAATTAAAAACTAAAAATAATGTTTGTAAAAATTCCAAATGTTCCTTGCAAGCAAGCTATTTGCATGACAAGGCACTGCAAACTCTATTAAGGGGAGATAATAGAGTTTCAAAAATTTACAATTGCTCCAATAATATTGCTTTCTATTTGAGTGTACTTGTACGTTTATTTTGTATCATCAACACTCTGCACGTTGGAGTGGATTATTTAATTATTTTTTTATTATTCCAAATATTGGGGGGGGGGAGGTTTGAAATTTTTTTGGAGAGGTGGACATTTTGTTGGGGGGGGGGGTGGTGTTATAGCTAATATTAGGGGCAACACACTAGTCCCCAGTCTCTTCTCTTTCTTTCACAAATTTCCTCCTGTATACCTCATGCAGAGGATGTTTGCATGTTATACTGTAATGGTTTAAACTGATCCCAATACCTACACCTATTATATTAATAAGCGAAAATGTCAGGAATTGCTATTTATTTCGCTGGAAATGGATCATATAGAAATTGGAAGAGAAGGGACTGGGGACGAGTGTGTTTCCACAACAACCATATAAACAAGCCAAATTATTTGACTTAGTTGCACCCACTAAGTGTGTATGCCAAGTTTCATTGAATTTATTAAATAGTCGCAAAGATATCAGACTTTCTTGTTATTGCCACTATCTCAAGTCATACTTGTGACATCACAACTCAAAATTTAGAAAGTGTGATAACTTGGGAATGAGATGAGATACAAATAAACTGTAAACATCATTCTTCATCATTTGAGCAGTCCCTTTCCATAAAATAATAAAAAATGAGGCAAAAATTTTGTTTTATAATCACTTTATTTTAACTGAATTTATTTACTGGTTGAGTCAGTTTTCTTCGATGTACATTACTGCAGGATACACCGTAGAACATGCGAATAAATAATTATATTAAACTTATTGACAAAACTATAAAAATCATGATCGAAGTTTTTGAGATTGATGAAACTTTGTTTGAAAAACTCTTCAACTAGTAAATAAGTCTGTTATAAACCTCAAACTTAGGATATAGGTCATATATTTGACTTATATTCCTTGTTCTTAGTTTATAACCTATACATACAAATGATAACTATATGTATAGAATGGCTTTGTTTTCATATCTAAAGGTACATTTAGTGATATTAGTGATGATCAGTTAGATGAACTTGTTCGCCAAACATCAAGTGATCATCCCAATTTTGGTATACGGATGATGAAAGGATACCTGCAAAGCAAGGGATGGCGTGTGCAACGTGACCGGATAAGATGTTCACTGCTGAGAACAGATCCAATTGGTCTAATGCAACGTTGGCAAAAAGCTATAAAACGGCGTTCATACAACGTGAAATATCCTCGCTCCCTGTGGCACATTGATGGGAACCACAAACTTATTAGGTATGATTTTGGTTGCCTAAAATTGGGGCAAGGTCATGCCACCCTAAAATTTGCCAATTAATTAACTGCAGCAAAATAAAAATTGTATACCACTGATACCTTATTGGACATTTTTAATCCCCACTCTGTAATTTACCGCTTGGTTTGGCTTTGGGTTGTATAAATATACATGATTTACAAGGGAAAATTGTAAACTAAATGTTTGTTTTATGCCCTATTTACTTAATATTAATGACCTTTCACCCCCGTTAAATAAGTTTGTCGAACTTCTATTTTAACAACAGTCCCTAACATTCTATTAAAAGAGGTTTCCTTCTTGTTTTAGTTGGAGAATTGTGGTACATGGAGGGATAGATGGCTATTCCAGAATGCCTATATTCTTGAAAGCATCCGACAACAACAGGGCAGAAACTGTTCTGCAATTGTTTCTTGAAAGTGTTGCAGAATTCGGACTTCCGTCAAGGGTACGTTCAGATAAAGGTGGGGAAAACGTAGATGTTGCTGCTTACATGCTGTTGATTATCATAAGCAGGTTTTAATGGCGTCGTTGCATATTTCAGCTCTGCTCACTTTGTTCATTGTGACATTTAGTTTGTACCTCGTATACTCAGAAAGATTGACTTACTTTAATGATGGAATTGCTTGTGATCATAGATGTATTGGGGCCCTTGGCGATGCCAGGTTGTGGCTAAAGTGTTCAAACTTTGTAAAATCTTGTCAACACAGACGAGGGTTCTTCAGACGAAAAATTGGTTATTACAGCAATCATACAGCCGGGTATCACTTGGAGAAAATTGATTTAGTCGGTATACATCCTAACCCTGGACCATTACAATCTACTGAATCTAGTGGTAACCGTCATAATATCAGATGTTTATATCTAAATGCTCGAAGTGTGATTAACAAGACAAACGAACTTCAAACATTTGCTATAGATTCCGACTTAATATGTATTACGGAAACTTGGCTCAAACCCAAAAATTTGGATTGTGAAATTTTATCGGTGAATGATTTTGCGATATATCGACAGGATAGACTTGGTACAGTCGGTGGGGGTGTTCTATGTGCAGTGCGGGACTCCCTACCAAGTTGTCGAAGAAAAGATCTCGAAACTGGTGTTGAAATGCTTGCTTGTGAACTTAGACCTAAGAACAGGAAGAAAATTTTAGCTGCCGTTTATTACAGACCACCAAATTCTGATCTCACTTATTTGAAAGAAATTAAAAAGTCGCTGCAGCTCATTTCGAAAGCCAAGTTTGATCAAATACTTATATGTGGTGACTTCAATTTACCTGATATGGACTGGTCTACGGGTTTGCCAACAACTGGCGAAGCAATCCATAATTATTTCTCGAAGACGGTTCGCGACTATTTTTTGTGGCAATTGGTCGATTTCCCAACGAGGAATGATAACATTCTTGACCTAGTGCTTACCAACATTCCAGAAAAAATACTGAATCTCGAAGGTTTTGATGATATACTTGAAACTGACCACAAAATATTAAAATTTGATTTCAATTTAAAAATTCATCCAAAAACAAAGTCAAAGCGTACTGTGTTCAATTTTAAGAATGCAAATTGGATAGCCCTTAAAGAACTGCTGATGCATACCCCCTGGGACATGGCCTTTGTTAAGAATGACATAAACAATTCACTTAGTATCTGGTGTGATCTATTTTTTGCTGCTGTCAATGAACACATACCTAAATGTACAAAACGGTGCGTGACTAATCCGCCGTGGATTGACACTGAATTATTAAAGCTTATTCGAAAGAAAACACATCAAAGAAGGATAGCCAGCCGTACTAAATTACCTATTGAAATTGAAAAATTCAAAATCCTAACGCGTAAAACAAAACAAATGATCGCCAAAAAACGCAAGGATCACGCTTATAAAATTCGGGATTCTCTTGTGGAAAACCCAAAAAGGTTTTGGGCGCTCATTAAATCATCTACAATAACAAAACCTATACCAAAATTTCTTAGAGATGGTCAACTGTTTGTAACAGACAATAAAGCTAAAGCAGAATTATTAAACAAATACTTCCACTCTGTATTCGCTACACCTGACCAACATCAGCCACTGCAATCTCAATTATCAGACGTTGTTACACAAAGGACCGTTAGATACGCTGATCGTCTGTCGAACATTGAATTGACGGAAAGCGAAGTCGCCAATGTGCTTAAGAGCTTGGATCCTAATAAGGCTTGTGGCCCGGGTGGAATACCGAACAGACTTCTTCAGAACGTGTCGACCGAAATTGCACCATCCCTATGCAAGCTATTTAACTTGTCGCTATCCCAGGGGGTTGTTCCTTCAGAATGGAAGTTAGCAAATCTTTCGCCGATTTTAAAAACCGACGACCCAACAGTCTCCTCCAATTATAGACCCATCTCGCTCCTAAATACAATTTCCAAGGTACTCGAACGCTGTGTATTTAATCATTGTAGTAAGCATCTGGAGCCTCAGATATACCATTTACAGCATGGTTTCATGAAGGGTCGATCAACAGTAACACAACTTGTTGAGGTCTATGATGATATTGTAAACTCTGTCGCAAGTGGAAAGGAGGTAGATGTGTTGTATCTTGATCTAGCCAAAGCATTTGACAAAGTGCCTCATAATTTGTTACTCTTGAAACTTCAGTTGCATGGTATCACAGGTCCACTATTGTTATGGATGAAGAGTTATCTTTCTGAACGAAAACAGAGGGTTGTCCTGGAGGGTGCTTCTTCTGATTGGCTACCAGTAACATCAGGCGTGCCACAGGGCTCCATTCTAGGACCTTTGTTGTTTTTGGTTTATGTGAATGATCTACCAAGTTGCATTATTAATAACTCGAATATTGCACTTTTCGCTGATGACTCGAAATTGTATCGGGCGATGGACATAAATTATGACCATAACTTACTTCAAGCCGATTTAGACTGTCTACATACATGGAGCCTCAGTTCGGGATTAGACTTCAATTCGCGGAAATGCAAAGTATTACATATTTCAAAGAAAAGGTTAACTCGGGAAATGAATAGAAATTACAGTCTTGGTGACCAACCGAATGAGTGTGTGCCTTCATTTGTCGACCTCGGGATTACTATATGTCACAATTTATCCTGGGCAGATCATATTGAGAAAATTGTTGTTAAAGCTAACAGGACCCTTGGGCTAATGAAAAGGATTTTCCGTGATTTGCAAGATATACAAACTAGAAAAATAATATACTGTGCTCTTGTACGACCCAAGCTGGAATATGGTAGTAGTCTTTGGTCGCCTTACATCAAGAAATACGCGAAATTAATTGAAAATGTCCAGAGAAGAGCTACCAAGTTTATTCTAAACTATCCTGAAGATATGAAGTATACTGATAGATTGATAAAACTAAACTTATTGCCTTTAGAACACCGTAGACAAATTTCAGACTTAACATTTTTCTTTAAATCGAGAAATGGCTTGGTAACCACCGACATTAATAAATTTTTGACAGTGTTTGAGCCCGGGTATCGAACACGTAATTATGACATAAATAACTATAATCTAATTATAAAGCATAAGCAAGATTATTACAGGAAATCTTACTTCATAAGAACAGCCGAACTCTGGAACACTTTGCCATCTCAGGTGAAACAGTGCGAATCCATTCGAACATTCAAGACTGCCATTTATAACTTTTATTCATCTAAGTGTTTGGACTATTGTCCTCCTTAGTATAGTATTACCTACTCGCTTATTTATTTATTTGATTTTATAATTTATTGTTGTTCCTCCGATATTTTTGGAGTTTTATGTAAAGGGGTTTTGTTGCAATTGGGACGCAAGTCCTGTCCAAACTCCTGTCATATACTTATAATTATGATATTATATGTAATATATGGCAAATTCATTAAACTAAACTAAACAACAACGTGGGCCTGGACGAGGAAGCATGATTACAGGTTTGTGTTAATTTTATTCAGTCAGTATAGTTGCCCTTTATAGATTAAATCATCTGGCGCTATACAGGGTAATGTGACGAAGTATAGGGTGCATTATGACACAATGCTACTTGCAAAGTTACACAAGTCTAATTTATTTTACTTTTCGTAGAGTATGTAGTGAAACTTGTGACTTGGTACATATAGTATGTTACCTAACTTATCTGTACAATACATGCTACCAAACAAGCAATCAATGTTCTAGGTAAAAGCACTCATAATCAGCGGATTGAGAGACTTTGGCGAGATGTGTTTGATGGTTGTCTCAGTTTGTTTTATGACCTGTTCACTTCAATGGAAGAACAAGGATTTTTGAACAGAGATGACGAAACACACATATGGTGTTTACATTATATTTTCCTGCCCATTATTAATCAGCATATAAAGAACTGGAGAGATGCATGGATCCATCATCCAATTCGAACAGAGAAAAACAGAACCCCATTTCAGCTCTGGGTGACTGGATTGCAGCTGGCAAGAAGAGTTCAAGCACATAATATTGTTGAACCAATAGAGGTACTGTACACACCAACTGATACTTGTTACAGTAGTAGAAATACCAATGATGATACAAGATAATACTAATTTTCAAGATAATCATAAAATTTATTAATTTTTTGAAAACAGTTATTTTTATCATGAAAATTTAATTTGATTTTAGGAGCATTATGAATATTATGGCGTTGACTGGCATGGACCAATACCTGACCAAGCTCCGGAATTGGTGGAAGTGCCAAGTACCATGTGCCCATTTAATGATGAGCAGCTTCGTATATTACCAGAGAATGTGGGTCTAACATATTTGGAAGGAGTTGAGACATTTCGCACTATTCTTCAGTTAGCACATTGAACCACACTGAATTTTTATTGAAGAGTAATTTTAATGCCCCAACGTAACACAATATTTACAGAGTGTATACTGTTACTTTTTAAGAGAGCCTGCAATAACGTTATAACGGTCAAAATCCCAAAATGTGTAGAAAATGAAGTTTAGTTCATTTGTCTTCGATCTGTTCATTTGTTAATCCTGCAGTTATTGCACTAAGTATTCTGTATTAAATTATGCTTTTTAATTTTTGCAGTATTATAATCTCTATATAGTGTTTTAAGCGGAATTTGCATAGTAAAGCTAGTAAACTTATGTGTGCAGAAAAACTGTAATCTGTTCAGAATTCGTTCAATGTTTGCCCGTTGACCGTTAAGGAGTTCAGACTTGACTACCGCTAGCAATTAACTGTCGCTGGCTCAGTATGCATATGATGGCGGCTTAGCTGTGGTGGAACTCAAATTTGAACCTTTTTATATTTTAGGCTCTCCATATTACAAACACAACACAGTTATTGGTAATTAAATAAATTAAATACCTGTAACAGTGAACAGAATTTTTCAAAACAACATCAACAATAAGTTCTTTCTACAATGTGTAAGACTTAGTTAATTAAAGACAAATCCGTGTGCACCGAATTTTAAAGCCATGTCCATGCTATTCTTGAAGGACTCAAATGATGAATGCTTAGTTGGAAGTACAATGGTCTTGAAGCAGGTCTCAGATAAAGGTAAGACAATGTTGTTCCCATCAAACTTTACCAAAAGAGATCTTGCCTTGTGTTGGAGGCAGTTGCACGCAGTCCAGAAATGGATCAGATCAACCAGACCAGCGCCGTCTACAGTAAAATTTGAAAGTTGTGTCCAAGCAAGTTATGATAACAGTTCTAAGTTATTCTCATTGTTGGATTTTTTAGTGACTGACTGCTAGTCAAATAAACGTTAGGGGCGGACCATTAGAAAAGTGATGGGGGGGGGGGCAATCGTGCGGGGAAACACAAAGAAAAGAAATCGTACACCAATAAAGTTTGAAAAAACATTTGTGCATATACTTTGCAATAGGGTAAATTGAAATAAAAAAATAATGCAAGGGATATATTTTAAAAAAATATTGACATAAGTAAGCCATAGGACAATTATTGACATAAGTAATAAAAAACCCTTTTCTAATGGTCTGCCTCTAATTACAGTACCTTCTTGCTTTTTTTCAATTTCCTCTATATAACGAAGAAAGAAATCTGCTGCTAATTGGTTGGCTTCACTTTCTTCTCTTTCTTGAAAAAGCAAACAGTTGATCACTTCTTTAGCTTTAATTATCCTTTCATTTTCTTCAGGAAACACCAACTTGGATAAGGAAGAGCATTTTATGAGAAATGTGGTCAGGGAAACTTCATCCATTCCTGTAGTAATTGAAATAATTTGTACAATATGATTCACCAAGTTACTGACAAGAAATGCAAAAAATATCACACGGATAATGTCATTCTAGTGAACTTTGGTATTAACATCTAATTTCGCCAGTAGTGGTTAATTCTGAAATATACATCACATGATGCTTGTGACATTACTCTGAGTGTATATCCACACCAGGCAATGTTTGAAAAATATGCCTGGCCACGGTGGGAATCGAACCTACGATCTTTGGAATACTAGCCCAATGCTCTGCCAACTGAGCTATTCAGTCAGGTCGGTTTGAGTATGTGATATAGCCTGCGAACAGGCTCTCAAGCTGAATTGAGAGCCTGCATCGATGACTAATGAATTTGAATATCTGCGTCTCAAATCGTGACGCGAAATTCTCATTGGTCAGATGCTATAATTTATATTATTCCGCTGAGCTCTATATATGTCAACTGCTTGACTATGCATAAAAAACACATTAACTGATCAAATTGGTCGTGGCCATCTTATCTCAAAGCACGAAATGTTCTGTTTTGAGAAAACAGTATTTAAAACATTTAAACTTTTGCTTGAATATCTTATATTTCGAAAAACAGTATAAACTGTACGGTCTAAATTTAGTTTGCATAGTCTAAATTTAGTTTGCACGAAAGTTGTAAACAACACCATATAAGGATAGACATTCCATATTTGGAAAAACGAACGTTACGGGGCAGATATTCAAATTCATTAGTCATCGATGCAGGCTCTCAATTCAGCTTGAGAGCCTGTTCGCAGGCTATATGTGATATTTCGGTGGGAACCGAGTCTAGTTCCTGAGGCCGCGTAGCTCGGCAGAGCATTGGGCTAGTATTCCAAACGTTGTAGGTTCGATTCCCACCGTGGCAAGGCATATTTTTAAAGCTTGCCCAGTGTTGATATACACTCAGAGTAAGTTCACAAGCATCATATTCACCTGAGTACTGTACATAACACCAACACAGAAAAAATACATCACATATCAAAATGACTGTTATAAAAAATACTAACAAGGGTAAATTAAAGTTTCACATGTTATGTATGATCGTTATACAGTATATACCTTTTGCAATATCATTTAATTGAAGTCTTCTTTTGTCAATAACATGAAACATCATTAGTTCTTGGATTACCAATTCACGGTTAGTCGGAAACGTATCTGGATCGATGCCAGCTTCCAAAAGATATTGCAATAATTCCTCTTTCTCCGAAGCTGTGACAAGGGTTTGGGATTCTTTGGTTGATGTTACATTCAACTGAAATGACAAGAGGGGGAAAAGGAGAATGAGCTAGTGATTACATGTACAGACGAGAGTTATTGCACTCAAATGAGGCAACAAGTATTTTTCTCCCCCAATGACAATGTTTTACAATTAATTATACTCACATGATGTACTATCATCTGGCGTAAATCAATATCTACTATGTCTTCAGGGACAATTGGAGGAGGTTGGTAGGTCTCACTGTCAGATGTTAAAACGTGTTTAACAGCAGGTGACAAACCATGTATTCCAGGACCACCGTGCAGGATACTGTGACCAATTATACGACCAAACGCCTTAAAAGTTCCTGTTAATCGAAGTGATTGATCATGAATAGGCAATCGGTGATCAGGTTGTCCTTCAAAGAATATCAAAGGTTTGGATCGTCCTGAGCCAGAGGGAATCCCTTCATCCACAACTTCCATGGCAAGAACCAAGAATTCTCTCACAGGTCCGCTGCCAACGCCATCCTCTTCCTCAAACCTTACCCTTGGAACTGCGCATAGCTTCAAATCAGGTTTTTTGTAAATACTAATTATGTCTCTCCTTAATTCGCTTTTACCATCAACACGGCACACAGTAAATCGTTGTTTAGGAAGATCTTCATCAATTTTTTGTTTTTGAAATTCAAGTACAGCAGCTTCTGGGGTTAAATCCGACAGGAAAATTGGATTACATGTATCTATATTTGATGATGCGGAAGACTCTGGTCTGTTTTCTCCATCACCAATAACAATTAAGGGAATTCCTAAAGTGTTATATACAGAAGTTGAAGGATAGTATCTAACTGTAACTTAAAAGATAATGGAAACTGAGAAAAACTTATATATTTAAATCAAATTTATAATCATACGTTTTCACTACTATTTTAGTCATCATTTAAAACTTCTGATGGAATGCTCATTGTCTTGACAATACTGTAGTCCGTGATTACTGCAACTTACGTGTCTCATAGCATTCTCAACCTCCAAGGGTTCACTGGAAATTGATTCTATCCAGAACTGATGAAAATTGAAAAGGGCAAATTTGCCATGCAGAACGGCAGCTATCTGTCTTTATTTTGTAGTTAGAATCTTTGAACAAATCACGCACTGCATTAATTGACACTTATAAATTTCATATGTGGATTGGCTAAGACATAGTCAGACAAAGCAACATGTAAGTAACTTATAATATGGTTATTCAACTCCATTTTGAGCCAGACAATTTTTCATGTTCTCACAGGATCCTTAAATATTTGCAGTGCAACCTATCCACCTCATGATGCAGGAAGATTACAGTGTGATATCACTGTGGTTCATTAACATCATTAGCATATAGTATCATGCATTCTATACCAATGACTAGATCCTTAAAATTCTTTAGTTTGACACAAACTAATGCAGCTGAACATTTCGATTTCACGTTAATTTATACAGTAAATACTCTAATCTGTCATACCTAAAAGTTGTTGGGCAGCTGCGTTGACATCCTCATTGCATTCTTGTAAAGCAACTTTTATTTCTGACGTACTTGCATCAGGACAAACATCATTTAGAATTTTTTCCACATCATTTTTAGTATCCGATTCACTGTTGTCAGTTTTAAGATTCTCATCTCCCACTCTATCATTTTCAGTCTCAGAATCACTGTATAAAATGGGAAAACGTAATATGGTTAGAATAACATTTTGTTATGGTATAAACAGCTACCAATTTTGGAAAAGCAGCAGCCAGCACCATTATCTGAAGTAAAAAATCTTATTCATTATTTCTTCACAGCTGCTATATATATAGCTCTGACATTTAATAGTCTACAAGTAATTCATTTGTGGAAAGTAGCAACTCTCCCTCTATTCATTTTGATTATCTTGATATGATGGTAACAAGCTTATTATGACTGAAATGGTTGTCTTGAGCATGGCAAACCAAAATGTATATAATTACCCCATGCATACGAAAATGGATGGCAACTAAAAAGCATTGAGGTAAATGCATGCAAGTTCACTTGTCTGCTTGTCCCAGAATGCCACCTTCCATTAGGATTCTAGGGATAGTTTTATGATTAGTAATATAAGTTCCACTCAATATAAAATATTGGTTCCAGGTGTACCAATAGTCAAATACACAAATTACCTGTACCTGAGAAAGGGGTTTACAAGATCATGCCTCTTTCTCTAGAAAATGCAGAATGTAAAGTAATTAATTAAGAATGGAAAACCCAAATACACATTCCCAAAACACACATGCACAATGACATATTGTACCTTTTGTCTTGGAGGTGACTCACTAGTATGGCTTTTCTGGTGATCTTTTAATTTGCACATTCCAATCACCATACCACAAATGAAGCATGTTACCACTGGCTCATCAAAATCTACCTGTTCAAATTATAAAACTATTCATTAATTAACAAAATAAAAACACTAATTTTCTTTCCAAGAGGTTGAACTTTAATAAGCCTATAGTTTATCTCCACAGGCATGCAGAGACGGATTTTCATATTTTCATTCGAGGGTGGGGATGGATAAATATCTGGGGGGAGGGGGGGGGGGTGCTGCTGCTTGCTTTGGCCAGGGCCTGGTGGCAACACCCGGAAAGGCCAAGGAAAAAGTTTAACAAAATTTGTTTTCTAGGCCTGCATGGCAAGATATGAGACCATAATATTGGTAATTTTACAAATTTAGTAGTAAGAATAATCAAATATGAAACTATCAAATCAAAATATATAGAATTTGCGGGGGTGCAAAAACTTTTGGAGGCAGTGCCAAATGCCTCTGGGGGGTGCAAATAATTTCTGGGGGTGCAAATAATTTCTGGGGGGTGTGCATCTCTCCCCCCCCCCAGAAAATCTGTGCCTGCAGGCATGTGGACGCATGTTCATTTTAAATTAAATTAAATTACATACAGTATAATACTATATATTGCCATATAATATTATATATATTGGCATTTATATATATTATTTATATATATATATATATATATATATATATATATATATATATATATATATATATATATATATATATATATATATATATATATATATATATATATATATATATATATATATATATATATATATATATATATAAAACTAAACTTTTTTATTACACTGAACTTGATCGGAGAAGGGTTGGTGATTTACTTGGGCTCAAAATAGCAGGTTAATTGCCAATATATGGCCAAAAGCAAAGCCATATTTTAGAAATGGCAGGCAAAAACAAATCTGAACTGCCAAGTAAAAAAAAAATGGCAGGTGAAATTCTACAGATATATTTCATTTTGTTTGCATACTATAACTCATGCATATATACGAGATCATTTAGTTGACTATTAAAATATGTTATATTTGAAATGTAAATCCAAGTTTACTGTAGTAAAATAGACAAGTTTAAAAATGATAAAAATGCATATCATTAAAACATTGGTTTTTAGAATATGACTCAATATGAAACATCACCATTTGGGCAGTTGAGTGAATAAAAATGGCAGGCTAAATTTTTTTTTCACCTGCCAAAAATTTTTTTAGACTGGCAGGCCATATTTTTTTTCTAATTTGAGCCCTCATACAGACTCAGTCAATCATTACATTTGTTATTCAGATACAAGGGTAGATCCAGCAAGGTTCTTCTATGGGGGTGCTGGGTGAGCAAACATGAGTTTCTTTATAATTCTTTAGGGGGTGGTGGGAAAGCATTCAAATGAATTGGCTATCTAATGACTCACACACAGAAGGTGCAAGCTCCCTAGGGGGTTCAGGGGTATGCTCCCCAAAAAAATTGAAAATTAGAACCCTAGAAATGTCAGTTCCTGCAACATGGCCATTGAATTATGAGCTTCGGTTTGACTTCAAAAAAGGAAAACCAAATTTTGCACCTCCCTTGCACCCATGTTGACCAAGGCCAACAGGTGCACCCCTGTGCACCTCCCCCCTATAAATCCACCCCTGTTTCAGATATCTCACCTCATTGTTCTCTTCTTGGGTTTCCTCGTCAAGAAGTGGAATGTCTGTTTGAAGTGGTCGTATATAAATTTTGGCTAGAGCACAGATATCCTTCAAACGTATTGTTGTCAGTGGAGGTTTAATTGCATGAAAGCCCCCATTGACACCACCCCCTCTTTGATAAAGTGAGAGTTCATATCCTCCTGTGTGAGCAAGCTGGGGGAATTTTTTCAAAATTTCCTCATACAAATAAACACTGCTCTCATTTAAGTCTAACAGTAATGTGCAGTCTCCCAAGCCTGCATTACATAGTGTAGCAGCCGCGACTTCCGGCTGACGGACTTCCGGGTTTTTCGCGCCATTTTTAGATTGAAGTAGCTTAGCGATATCGAACTTTGGGGCGCTTTGTTGTGTTGCTGACTTGTTCCTACGTTTTTCGCCAGATACCAGTGTCCTGTCATAGATATTTGTAAGTAGATTGCCAGTATTTATATCTGTTTCTGTCCAGTATTCAGTAATTCGTATTTATCCGTGTAATTCCTGTATATTTGTGTTTGTATTTAGCACCGTTCGTTATTGATTGAAAATAAATTAAGAATTATTTGAAACGCGTTGAAACTCGAGGCCCCACAACCAGTCTAAACAGCCGTGGGGCTGGCACACATAGATCTGTCTTGTCTTTCACATTGGAAGGAGGAGCTGTGGCTGTTGTTGCAGCAAGACAAACAAACTTTAACTTGCATGTGGGTTGCTTTTCCTTCTTTTTTGATGCTGCTTTGCCCTTAGTTGAACAACGACTTTTATTGAAATTAAAAAGCCGTCTATGCTCACTAATTGCAGATGACATGGTTGAGCTGTTGGGTTGTATGGCCTGCAATATGGCGCTGCTATTGTGTTGCTGCTGTGATGTAGTAGGCATGGTAGTACGGGAAGAACTGCTGTTTGTTCTCAATGTTGCTCCTAGTAGAATATAGTAAAAAGCATTTAAAATCTCGATTTAAGACTATAATTTGCTTTACTGTAAATGTATTTCAATTTATGTAAGTATAGTCAAATTTATTTTTAATAATAATAAAATGATACTAAATATTTTTGCATATTATTATATATCGTCTGGATTTGACAAAGCTATTTTTTAAAGCTACACTTACCTGATGAAGAATTAGATGGGCTCATTGTCGGTGAAGATGAATTCGACGAGTTTATTGAAGAAATTTGCTCGGCTACTTTTAGAAGAGTAGCCCTCACTTCGTTTAACCCAGAAGGTCCAGAAGTCTCTGATGATTCTGCCATTGTTGAGGAGTGAGAGCGCGGGAAACGGAAGAAGTCCACTGAGCTGTATCGTGATAACTGGAGAAATCATTTATGTGCAAAAACGAGCCCGCGATCCATGATATATGAGTGGATTGCGGTTGGAAAAAAAAAGTTGTGTTGAAAAAAAAAGTTGTGTTGAAAAAAAAAGTTGTGTTGAAAAAAAAAGTTGTGTTGAAAAAAAGTTGTGTTGAAAAAAAAAGTTGTGTTGAAAAAAAGTTGTGTTGAAAAAAAGAAGTTGTGTTGAAAAAAAGAAGTTGTGTTGCAAATAAAAAGTTGTGTTGCAAATAAAAAGTTGTGTTGCAAATAAAAAGTTGTGTTGAAAATAAAAAGTTGTGTTGAAAATAAAAAGTTCTGTTGAAAATAAAAAGTTGTGTTGAAAATAAAAAATCATACAGTGAAAATGATGTTGCAAACAAAAAGTTGTGTTGAAAATAAAAAGTTGATTTTTGGCGGGGATGGGACACCATACTAATTAAACTTCTTTTGAATAGGCAATACACGCTTCCGGAAAGTACGTCACCTTGGCTATAGAGCCTCGTTTTCGTAACTTTAACTGATGTCACATACACGAAAACGAGGCTCTATAGCCAAAGTGACGTACTTTCCGGAAGGGTGTATTCCAGCTTTTAATTTATGCGCGCACGGGTGACGGGAAGTAAGGTATCATATCGGCTGATCATGCTGAAAAATTTCAATAAAAACTGCCGAAACCAGGGCCTAGGGTTTTTCCGCGGGTGGGGGGGGTGGTATATTTTTTGAAAAGGGACCTTTCTGTGAGATAATATATTAGAGGGGGTAGTCATGACCGAAGGCTACGTGTGTGGCCGACATACCAATTTTTGAGATTCAGTATTTTCCTCAATGAGATTTTAAGCAGCCCGCGTCTAACTAATAGCACAACTATTCTGTGCTAATAGAATCAATAAAAAAATCCGTCGCCCGCCATCCGTGTCCGCGTTTTGTCTACACCCTTATACCAATCCAAAACATTAATTAACATGAAGTAGTTACATTGTCGGAGAATATTGACGTGGGCTCAAATAACGAAGCGGTAAATTTTCAAAAAATTGTTTTGTTGAAGAAGCGGTTTATAAATATCAATCTTACAATCGATTTTGACATGAAATATCATCACTTGCCGTTTAATAATCCAAGCTGAAATGCTGTAGAAAAGGTGAGGATTGTAAAACATGTTTGAAAACCAGTATTGTTGTAAAATCGACGTCAAGATTGTCACTTCAAATTTTTCATTCCAGACGTTTATTCAAAATCTTTGAGCTCTCGAACATGGACGTCGCAACAAAGACACCCAAGGAATGGCTGCAATTTATCACAAATGAACGACAAACATACAGTGGACCAAATAAATACAAATATTGGATGCAGCTGTACAGACGGGCGGCAGATTCCATTCCGGCTAACGAATTTGCTCACAATAATAACGCATACGCTAAAATAATGGTGGATTTTGCGAAGCTACAGGCGTAAGTTTACCGTATATCATTTTATATTTATTTTCTTTGAGAATCTAGAATGCAAACAGAAGGGGTGTTAAAGTAAAATATTCCTTTTTAAACGGTATTTTTTTAGGAATACAAAATTTTATCTAAATTAGCCTGTGCCTTTAATACATTTTATAACCTGAGTCTGAGATCAGGCTCTATTTTACAAATATAATCTGACACAAACCTTTATAATCCAATAGCTTTCTACCACAGCAAAGTTTATATTTAGTATCCAATCAAAATGTTGCAAGAGAAATTTAAATTTCAAACAACGACAACAACAATCTAATTATAGTTGTGATCACTATAAAATATATCATCAACAATAGTATAATCTAATACACCCTTCCGGGAAGTACGTCACTTTGGCTATAGAGCCTCATTTTCATGTGTCTGACATCAGTTAAAGGCCACGTCTCAATCACGGAAGCGTGTATTAGCACCAACCAATCAAATGACAGATTAAAAAATCTTTTGTCTCACAGACTGATTAGATTTACAACTGATTAATACTGTTGTATTGTTGGTTTGTATCACTAATCAGGCCTATTTATTAATTGGCCTGATCGCAGGTTACCTTACATGTAGCTTGGACGTTTTCAGACCTGCCAACCCTTGAGTAGCAGAAATAGTGAGTTGCTATCTAAAAAGTTGTGAGATTGACTTAAAAATCGTGAGATTAATAATCGTGAGAAAAATCGTTGAGAGAAATTTTCAGGTTTGCTCATTAATATCACATATGACCAGGGTTAAGTTTAACAACACTGGAAAATAATGAATAGATATTCAATCTTAGGATAGTATGCATTTATATTTTGTTCATATAACTGTAATGCAAGGCTTATTAAAAATAGACTGTTTTTTATTTATGGCTTCAGGCGTAAAAAAAGTACCTGTGGTTCCGGTTTCATATCGCGAAAAAATTAGGGTTGGGAGGTCGGAAATAATTTTTTTTTTAAATATTTTTTTCATGGTTTTTTCAATAATTAGTGTGACAACAGACGCCATTTTGGCAGCAGCCCGCAACCACCCAGAGAAAATAGGGTTGCACAGTCAATCGTATTGAGAAAATAATAGGGTCGGCAGAAAAAATAGGGTTGGTCAGGAACCGGAACCACAGGTATTTTTTTACGCCTCAGTGGCTTCCAGTATGTGTCAAGTTTCACAAAATAATAGCATTAGATATTTCTTTTTTCCACGGGTGTTTGGCATCACTTGTGGTATTAGCAGAGATTTTGCCGAAAATCGTGAGATTTGGGGACTTAATCGTGAGATCGTGACAAAGCATAAAAAATTGTGAGACTTGGCAGGTCTGCGTTTTGAAATATGGGGGGGGGATGAAGCATTGTTTCTCTGTGTGTTTACATGAGAAACAATGCTTCATCCCCCCCCATATTTATTATCAATGGTGCCCAAAATTATGGGTCATGCCCCTCAACAGATATAGGTGTGGTTTATCACAGACAGTTGCATGACATAAGAGACATGTACTATTTAGTCTAGCTACCTGAAAAATATAAACAGTTGTTTGCTGTTTTGAGTGAAGGTCATTGCCTATGAACAGAGTGCTTCTAGATATAAGTTCCCTCAGGGACTTTCCTAAAGAAGTACCTTTGCTGAGTTTGCTCAAAACATTGAAGTTCTACACATCATTTGGTTTTGTAGTCTGTGGTGTAAAATTTCCCAATCCTTAAATTTGCTGTACTATTTGCCAGTAGAATTTGCTAATCTTTAATTAAGCTGTTACCTTACTTAGCCTGTAAAAGCTGGTGTTTGAGATGGCCGCAAATTTGTGTGTATATTTTAAAGCTAAATGATATGAAATATAGAATATATGCGGGTCAAAATCTACTAGCAAGTTTTAATAGGTGAATGCTCTCTCAAAAAGTTTGAAATTGTTTAAACTCCTAAGAGCTTGGAAATGTGTACTATTTGCTTGCATTTTTGCTTCTAAATCCTATAGGCCACCAGCCTAAATTCACAACATGATGTAGTCTATTTACTGTTTGTATCTTTTCAAATTGTGATTTTTTAGGTATTTTTGCATGTATAATAAATACCATTTGATATGATTTGATTAATAAATACCATGATACCATTTTTTCTGTGTTGGTGTTGTGTACTCAGGTGAATATGATATTTGTGATGTTACTCTGAGTGTATATATAATCCACACCGGGCAAGCTTGAAAAATATGCCCGGCCACGGTGGGAATCGAACCTACGACCTTTGGAATACTAGACCATGATACCATTTGATGCTTACTAGTTTAGCACTTCTATAATTATGAAATTCATGCAGACTCACTGTTGGTGGGGCGTTTGTAAATTTCCAAAAATAATTTAAAAATTAATTTTGTGCAATATATCAAATGTCATAGAATATTTTTGGTTCTGTGTGGTATCGTTGCAGTCAATTGTTAAACTGCATATGATGTCAGTAAAATGTTATGATATAATTGATACCAAATTCCTTTTCAAAAAAATTACTGACCTTAGATTACAGTTTACTGAGTGTTCTGTCAATTGACTAATTTACCGACTGGTTCATTGAAAAGTGTCTGGCTGGCTTAACAACACCCACACCCTGCATTCAAGGGAATTATGCATGCAAGCGACCATTAAAAATTGGTTGTATCATTTGGCTGAGGTGCATCACCAGTAAGGATCAGTTTGTATGAAGGCTGGATAGTGGGCCGAGTGCTTGAAACCACAATAGAAAAACATGGATGTGGATATGATATTAATAAAAGGAAACTGGAATTTTTATATACTATATTTAGTTTAAGTTATAAACCGAGAACATGGGATATAAGTTATATTGTTTGGGTAACCTATATATATATAGTTAGTTAGAAAATTTTTAACATTACATGTCCCAAACTAGCCTGGTTAACAGGGCTGAAGTCCTAAACTCTAAGCTATATTTACAGATTGTTTACATGATGCATTTAGGGCTTCCTCGCAGGGGTGGAAAAAATAATTTTCTTCCTGCGAGCATAGTAAGAAGATTATAAATTTCCTGCAGACTGCAGTGTGTAGATTATGACCATGTCAAATATATATAGCGCTATAAATTGTAGCTACCTGTATAATGCACACATGATTGGTGATTATGGTTTTAACTAAGGAATGATCATTCTTTGCACTTTTTGCAGTTGGCACATACATATCTAACAACAAGTGGCGCATACAAGTCGGCAACAGTTGTTTTATTTTGTGGGCAGGCTCACAGCAAACGCATGTTATCACTTATCATTTATCCAGAAAAAGTTACAAAATTATTGAAATAAACTAAAAAGAGTAATATTTTTGTGGTGTATATAGAATCTATTTACAAAGTCGAAGTGAACTACTGTAATAACTCACATAATACTGAGTAGGCTAGCTTAAATCATGCAATTGCATCAACAGTTCGACTGCTTAATGCTTGTACGTTTAACCAAATAGAAACTTTACATAGCACAGTGACGTAGATATTTGCTTAACATGCACCCTATTGTGTAACGAAGGGCAATCTCGATTCTTGTGAGATGATTCTGTTTATAACTTTGCTGTTATAAAGTTTGCTCTGCTCTCCTTTTCGTGTTGCAAAATGCCATTTTCCATGCCTGAAATACTTTGACAAGGCTGAAGATAAGATGCGATCAGCACCACCAAGCTCTGGGCCGTTGCAGGCAATCCACAGCTCATTGTTCACAGCTTCCTCGGACATACTTCTTAGTTTACTGTTGTGCGTATTGTAGCGCGAAATAACTGATTCAGCAATAGACTCAACAGTCATTTTGATTGCTGCAACAACTATTGCTTCAACTACCATCTCACAACCGACATATAGTTCACCGCCACTGGTCAGGAATTTTTTTATTAAATCCTTGCTATCCATCTTTTGCAACTCTGGTATTGCTATTGCTTCTGTTTTTGATGCTAGTCTTCGTACGAAAATCTTGTATTGTCGGACTCTTGGTTATTCACAACGCGGACGTTTCGCGAGATTTTCTTGGCGATTCGAACAAACTTGTCGGCATTAAGAACACCTAATAAAATATGTCCTTTCTCTCGAATCTGCATGGCTAAGGATTTCAGATCAGTCAAAAATCTTGTACTTTCAACCATTTCCAAGGCATCTTCGCTATAAACGTCTTCCCTGAAACCTTTCACAAGTTGGGTTGTCAAGTCAGCGAGTTTCCTTTCCGCGGCAATGACGGGGCTTGTGGTGGCATTATTTGCTTCTTGTTGCCGGGCTCTCCTCGTGTTATGAACATGCTGTTCTTCGTGATCCTCTATAATCTGAGTGCCAACAAACTGGCCGTTAAGAATGCCTGGTTTGTTCTTGTGATAATGTGGCCAGAAGCATTTGTCCTTCCCGCAGTTGTTGTGATCAGAAAAGGCACTTGACCATTTTCTTCATTTTCTCCATGTGACCTGTAAACTTGTCAAATCGCTGAAATGGTAGTAGGTTCACTTTTTGAACTTCTGAGACCAAGACCCCATACTGTTCATAGATATCCGCCAATCCAGAAAGAAGCAGACAAAAACACTTGTTCTGGATTTTCACTTGATACTGCTCCGCTTGCTGGGCCTTCTCTCTTTCGCTCGTATCACCGTCATGCATCTCAAATTTCGTATTCTCCAGGCAGGCAATGATGGCTGATAGATCATCTAAAAAGTTTCCATAGACCTTCCGTACAGAATTAGCAAACCTCGTTTCACAAAAGAACTGTGGATTCTGTATAGCTAATTTCAAACGATCACATGCTTCAACTAACTCCTCGTAGCCTTTCCCCCAGTTCAACAATTTGAAAATAGAGGAAACAGTGTTGGTGGTGTTGGAAAGCCACTGGAACTGTCAACAAGGCCATAGCAATGAAGAACGTCCCAGTCATAGTACGTATCTGAATAGTCAATCTCATAATGTGCGTTGATATATTCTGGAACGCCAATATGAAAATACTGACCATCAAATCCACCACCTTCAAACCGTCCAGCAACAATATAGTTTTGAAGAACATTTGTTATTGATGCAGCAACGTCCTTCCCAGTGTGTTTCTTTACAATTGGATGGTCAAGATAGATGTACTGTATCAACTCTGCGGCATCAGGTACAATCGTAACCAAAAGAACTACCTGTCTTGTACGATGCTTCTTTGTATCCTTGCCAGCAATAACTTTAACAGGAGGAAGAAAACCAGTCTGTACAAGAGGTGTACATAAGAATTTTTTAACACGTGCCTTCGTCTCATCTGCGATGAATGGCAAAATTTGAGCAGGGAACTTACGTTGATGTTACCCATATCACAGCCATTGTGACTTTCTAAAGTAACAAGCTGTTCGTACTCACTGTACGGCTTAGCAGTCTTATAAAGTAAATAGCTTGTACGGGCACATCTCATGCCAACTTTCCTGTCTCTTGATTCAAACTCTTGTATTTCCAGTCTCAACATCTGTAATCTCTTTTTGTCTCTCGAGGTGGGTTGGAGTTTGAAGGTGGTCAAACAAATGAGTTTTCAAATTCCGAAACTGTCTTGACATTTTTTCATCGCTCTCAAATGCTTTTTGCGAATCGTTACTACATAAATACGCCGGTTCTTCCGAGAAAATTTACTTCTCTTGGTTCATTGGGTGGATTACATATGGAACATATAACAACTCCTTCGATGTCGTCATACTCAAACTCTGGAAGCTGAATTAAATAAAAAAGCGATCTAAAAGTAAAAGTAAAAATAAAGTTTAAACTTGAGAAAACATTGGAAAGTATATATCTACTGTAAAATAATTCACATAACTGATATAAGTCCGTACGTATACAATTAATGCATGGGCACAGGAAACAACTTCAAGTTAGAGAGTTCCCCATTGACATTGTTTAAACTTTAGCGCGGAACTTTGAATTAGAAACGTTGGGGAGTGGATGTACCTCCAATAGTCCTATGCCCCGGTTCCTATAGCTATGTCACTGCTTATTTGATTTAGGGAAAATCTCACCTTGCTGACTTTCTTTCTGTAACTGTAGGAAGCTCAGACTCCACAGCCACCGTTTCCGGTAAGGGTGTGATGGACAAGCAGGACATGCGATTTTCTAAGTTCTTTACAGTTGTCAGTATTTCGTCAAGCTTAGATGCAACTGCGAAATTGTCCTCTCCGGAGGCGCTGAGCGTTACTTTCGCGGTACTTTCGTCGGCTGTATTTTCAAAACCAGGCGGTGTTGAACCAGATGATATTGACATTGACAAGTCGGCCGTTTTAGCAGTTTTGAACAGAGGCTCTTCGTCTACATCACCGTGGCCACGTTTCCGTTTGACATTGTTATCTTTGACTTTATTCCCAAATAGTTCTATAAGCGACTTCTGTCCAAGTACTCTTACTTCTGTAGAGTTATGGGCATTTTTCATGTGGTCTTTTAAATTTTGAAATAGCATCTCTTTTCGACATATGTGACATCTTTCACGTTTGCTTTTACTCCGAAACAGTTTTTTAGATTGGTTCGTAACATTTTCTATGCGTCTATCTGTGCTTTCCAACCGTAACACCTGTTGTTGATCACCCTATTCGCAAGCTTGCAACTCATTTGAGTCATTTCCACGACAATCTTCAGTTATTTCACCGTCTGAACTTACTTGCTTGCTTCACTGTCTTCGATACAATCAGTGATATGACTGATATTCTCCATGTTGTTTTTAGAACTTTCACGCAAGTCAACGCAAGTTTTTAAAGTTTGTTTACTGCATCTAGACAATAATGTCTCATTGTCTAGATTATAGCGCTTGACAGGTTCTATTTTTAGTAGTTCCACAATTAGAACTAGACGTCCAGACCAGTGATTGGGGAAGCCAATTAGAGTCAAAATACAAAAACCTTCCCACTTCCGCTTCTGTAAATTGTTTTATATTTCTGTAATTTGTTCTATTTTTCTGTAGCGATTACTGCTTTATCGGCAAATATCCCTTTCTTTCCTTTATATACGTCAATTTGTAGCAAAGGATACACCTTTCGTTAGATTCTTTGCATAATCTAAATTTCGCAACCTTTATGCAAAGAATCTAACGAAAGGTGTATCCATTGCTACAAATTGACGTATCACGTATATAAACGAAGGAAAGCGAAATTCTACCGGACCCTATCGCGATATTTGCCGATAAAGTGGTAATCGCGACAGAAAAATAGAACAAATTACAGAAATACAAAACAAAGTTACAGAAGTGGAAGTGGGAAGGTTTTTGTATTTTGACTGCAAAACGTAAAAACTCTTCAAGTGCTCCAGACAAACGTTGAAGTTTCGCATGAACATTAAACATCTTTTGCAACATTGTTGAGGCGAGAGATACAAGATACGAGATCCGTAGGCGTAGCTGAAAAATTAAAGCTATCAGCCAAAAATCTGTTAAAGCTATCTGCCAGCGAATTTCTAAAGGCAAATCAAGCTCCTAATGAGACGCGTGTGATGGGTCTTTCTTCAAAAATTCAAATTACAAATCTTACAACACGTAGCCCGAGTAAAAATTTCCTGCGACTGGTGAAAACTTTCCTGCGAGCGCCGCTCGCGTGCTCGCCTATTTTTTCCACCCCTGCTTCCTCGTACAGTGGTGGTCCAGCGAGGTTTTTAGGGGGGGGGGTCAGTGTGACCAGATTTGGTAATTTAAATTACTTTTGGTAATATTTCGCGATTTTTCTGACTTTTTTGGTAATTGAAAATTTTTGGTAATTTTTTTAGTAATTTCTCTTAAAGTTAGTAATATTTTGGTTATCTCATGAAATTCAACCAAATACACCATAATGACACAACCTGTTATTCAAAAATTCAATGAGAACAGTTGCATGTCCATGCTTGCAAAGCTGTACATCCAAATTGCAAGCTTCTGGCCCAAGCTGTCCAGCTGAATCGAGGGAATCCTGCTGATCACCACTCACCCTATGCTGATTGTGGGCTAGGGACCTGGGCCCCGGGCCCAATCATTGCAGCGTCATATTTGCATTTTGCACAATTGCAACCAAAAAGTACAAGTGAGAAAGAAAAACATGGAAAAAACATAGTTTCAGTGATGGAAAGAGTTTTACTGATTTTGTTTTTGCTGAGATGTTTTATTGATTTTCAGAACACTTAGCTTTGGTTGCAGCAGAAATTTAGTAATTTTTTCTACGTTTTGGTAATTTTTTGCATGCTTATTTAGTAATTGCCTTGCAAAATATCTGGTCACACTGGGGGGGGGGGGTGTTCCGGGCGAGCAGCCAAACACATCGAACCCAGCCCTGTCCAGTCTTGGTTACAAATTATAGATATGTCGAATAAATATTATTTAATTAATAATTACATAAAATGTAAATCCCAGATTCTCTTGATACTGTGATTCAAGAGAAAATGGAATTTTTTCCACATCCGATATTTGATTGCTTTTCTAATTTTTATTTTCATTATCAACTTGTAGTACTTATAATGTTAGATGTTTCCAGCAAAATGATCAAAGTATCAAACTAGATTAATTATTAATATTGGACTTATTAAGTGTTTTGAACTACTGTAGTGAGCACTGTGCCTTTAAGATATACTGACAGTGTATATAAACGTTTAAGATACAAATTTAATTTTTATGCAACCCCCCCCCCCCCTTGCATCTCTGTCCCTTGCATCTCTGTTGCCCTTGTCACGCTTGTGCACCCTCCTGTGGATCCACCACTGACCTCTTATATAGATTGGTGTTGGCTGCTGTAATTAATTTGGGATTGATTCAAACAAGTTTCTTTTATTCTAACTTGTACTTTTTTAAAATACAATTGCTTCACAGTCTGAAACGTGGTGATGACGATGGCACCATGCATATGGGGAAAAGATGGCGCCAATAGTGCACCTCTCATATCTTCGAAACGAGTTTGGTGACCTCAACTTTTTTCTGGTTTCACTATGAACATATCATACACTTCACAGTTCACCCCCTGGAATTAAATTTCAGCAAATTCTCGTTTCCAGAACAGTTGCTGAACCTCAATTATTTTTATCATTTCATTCCGTTAAGAACTTCTGAAATTATATAATAACTTATTTTGAAGATTTTCGTCTGCTCACTTTGTTTCTGCTTAAGCCTTGGGCAAACTAGGAAACATTGTTGCGGAAACATTGTGATCCCCCATGTTTCCTCAAGTGTTTCTGTGTTTGCCCACCCGTGTAAACATCGTTGCAGAAACACAATTTGCTTCCCGAGAAGCAGAAATGTTTCCTCTCAGATTGAAAACCATTTCATGTTTCCCAATTGCGATTTTTGTTGCGGAAACATTGTTTCCGCAACGAAACATTGGCAGGAAACAATGTTTCCGCAGTTTGCCCAGGACTTTACTTTCATTGCTCCCCGCGCCCTACTTAATTATTTTGCTCTGTCTAATGCCAGGAGCTCAATGGCTAATAGTAATACATATGGCGCTCAATAATAAGTCCTTAGCTGCAGTGCTGCAAAAGTTAGTTATTTTTGGAACTAGTTACAGCTACAGTGCTTGTAAAAGGAACTAGTTACCGGTAAAAGTTACACTTTATAAATTGTGGTAAGTTATCAGTCTTAGATTAATTTAACGCAGCAGTATTAATTTAGTTTGATACTTTGATTGAATAAAGCAAATTCTTAATTTTGCTGGCATTACAAGTACTGTATTTGATAATATATAGCATTACAAGTACTGTATTTGATAATGAAAATAAATAGAGATTACTTCATGGTTGATGAGCGTGTACGATTTTTATGCACGAGTTGCGAAAAATTCCTATAAACGAACGAGTGAGCGCAGCGAACGAGTGAGTTTATAGGAATTTTTCGCAACGAGTGCATAATAAAAATCGTACAAGCGAATCAACCATGAAGTAATTTGTTTATTACCTCCGCCAGGAGGTTATGTAATCATCTGGGTTTGTGTGTGTGTGTGTGTGTGTATGTCTGTGAGCACGATAACTCAAGAAATACCAAACATATCCGTACGAAATTTTTTGAATGCATTTCCCATCGGCTAGGGAAGAACTGATTAAAATTTGGTTGAATTTGGTTAAAAATTGAACGAGAAATGAACAAAATTTTGTCTTGCTTTTCCCGGTCAATTAACAAAAAATATTACTGAATGCGTAATTAAGACGTGTATAATTTATGCACTCAGTGCTAAGACAATAATGAGATGAGAAACCTCATTAAGCTTCGGCCTTCATTATCTATTGTCTTAGTTGCATTTCACGCGACCGAAATTCAATGTCTAAGGGCCTGTTCATATGATCCCGCTTACCGGGACGTCCCGCTTACCGATGATCTCGCCGCCTATCTATTTTCCTATAAAATTTTGCATTGTGTTCATATGAGAAAGCGAGCTGGCCCGCTTGCCGAGATCTCGTTTGAATTTGCCGAGATCATAGGTAGGCGGGATGAAAATTTTTCCATATGAACACGCCAGCCCGCTTACCGGGATGAAGTCAAACAAGCCTTGCCGGTTTAATTTAACACTTTTTACTTGGTTTTATGTTTGTTTTGTAAACAAGTATTAAATATGCACCTGAAGCAATACTTTTTCTTGTAAATAAACGAAGAAAAACACTAAAATCGCTAAGTATTTGTGTTGCTTGACTGAAATGTAGAAGTTTTGCATACGCTAATTATAGAACTACAATGTAATTTCATCTCGGCAAGCGGGACGAAATACTCCATATGAACGCACGGAAATATTTGTCTCGGTAAGCGAGACGTCCCGGTAAGCGGGATCATATGAACAGGCTTACGGAGTTACGATTATTACGTTCAGCAAAGTGCCAGTCCATTCAAATTCTAACAACATTAGATTACTTCAATACAGGGTGTATAAAAAGAACGCAACCTCGGAATTTCCCAAGAAATCGACATTGTTTTAAAGACAAAAGATTTTAGCTGCCTGGGAATTTAAAATAGCACAACTGTGAAAATTACTGCGCGCGCGAGTGCATAAAGCAAAATTTATGCATTTATTTAATGACACTTAATAAGTTTTTATTTTACAAGTACTGTACAGTACAACAACAGTAATATGTTCTATTAGCAATTCGATTTCAATTCGCGGGGGCCTGAAATCTTTTATGCTTAAGAATTGTAAAGTGGATTTCTTAGGAAATTCCAAGGTTGCCTTTCACTTCCGAGTAACGGGCGGAGGTATGCAGTCTCTGAGTGCCCTCTAGTTATATGAGTTATTATATATTAGAGTGAAATTTAAGTGCTGAACGATAGACACAATTCAAACCAAACGTTTCAAACATATATAATATGCATCAAAAAGTAAAACAATAGCTACAACAACTGAATTATTTCGCTTTAAAATCGTAATTATTCAATGAAATTGTCATTGCAATGTTACAAAGCTCAAAAACTTGAAAACAATTACTGTATTTTGAGTAAAATTTAAACGTAAACAATATATGAATTACCGTCACGTTACCGTGTTCGAACGGACATCTAAAAAAACTGATTGTTGTTTTCTTGTACGCCAGTGGCGCGGCGGGAAAAGTAAATACGAAATTTTTCACTAGTGACAAATTCCGTACGTGCAATGAGAAGGCTAATACGGCGTTCTTCACTAGTGGCGAATGTCGTATGTCCAATGAGATCCTCAGAAATTTTAGGCATATGGTTTTTATTCGACAACTTTATCGCGTATAAAATTCAATACTCATATAATAAAAATCAAATATTCAAATGTGAAAGAAATTCCATTTTCTTTCACACAATCACAGTATCAAGAGGATCTGCATGGGATGCATATTGTATATAATTATTAAATTATATTTATTCAATCACAACATACTGTAAATTGTGTAACCGAGAAACTAGAATGCACTTTCGTGACAGTACGCTGCTAGCCAGCGCTGGGTTCGGTGTGCTTGGTCGCCCAGCACCCCCTCCCCCAAAAAGCCATGCTGGATGGTGGGAGGGGAGGTGTGGGGAGGTACCGGTACGCACCTCCCCCGGGAATTGTTTTGCACCTCCCCTTGGGGGAGTTTCAATGATAGATCATAGTGAAAATTTGACATTTTTTGGTTGCTTTGGGTCTACATTTCGTAAGAATGTTTTTCTGTAAAACTGAAACAGTGATAGCCATTCATCTGTGTATCAAGTACCCTTTTAATGCAATGTATTGTAATGTTTGTAATGTTTTGTAGTAATTGTAATGAAGGGCAAAATTGGATGAGTTGGACACAGTCAGTCATAATTCATTAATACACTGGATACATATGTATAGACAACATGAATATGTCACGTCGTTGACTTTGGTCCGTTCTAAGCCCTAACTTTTCATGGGGGTCGCGAGCTAAACCACTGCACCTCCCCTAAATTTTTTTCTACCTCCCCCACTATTTCCACCAAAATCCGGCCTTTACACATTTACCGTTAACTTGTTTAAAGTTACATCTGCAGGTTTTAATAAGTAAAATACTGTGAAGGATAGGATATAACCCAACTGCAAGCTGGAAAATAGGAGGGGGATTATTGTACAGTCAAACTGTTTAGCGACCACATTAATTTAAGATAATAAGTACTAGTTAAAACATGAGCAGCCGATCTTTATCTGATATACAAACTCGAGCCGAAGGCGAGAGTTTGTACATTAGATAAAGATCGGATGCGAATGTATAAAAATTATCCAAATATCAAGTATTTATTGACCTCATCTTGGATGTACTATTTAAAAAACTCGCAGGAGTGTTTTATTAGGTTTAAAGCCACGAGCGCGCAGCGCGAGTGGCTTTAGACCTAATAAAACACGACCTGCGAGTTTTTTAAATGGCTTCAAAAACGTTTGCATAATAAGTCAAATATTTATATAAAAGTCTTTATATACATGTAAAAATCTTTATATAAAAATCTTTATATAAAATTCTTTATATAAAAATCTTTATATAAATTAAAATCTTTATATAGTTTGCATAACAATTGTCTTTTGTCAAAGTGTTCTTTAGCTGGTATAAAGACGTATGCACGTGACTAATTTCTTACTCAAGATTGGATAATTGCTTCATGAATTATTAATGAGTTTTTGAATGCTAATTAAAAATCTGCTAGATTTTAGCAGATCACGTGACCAGCGTCTACCAGGGTCTTTTCTGCCTTCGCCAAGAGGAAAAAGACCCAGGGTACGAGGTTGGCCGGTGCTCGGAAAATCCAAATAAACGTTAAACTATTAATATTTTTATGTGCATGGTTTTAACTGCAGCAAAGCTCTGACGATTATTGTGCATTCATGAAAGCATTGGTGGGTGTTATTGGAGCATGAAATTTAATGCATGAAAATTAAGCCAAACAATAAGGGGGACAGAATATATTAGCAACCAAAATTTGCACCTCCAGTATTTGTAAATGACAGGCCACTGAGTAAATAGTAAATTCTACCGCGAACAACTTGGCCACACTATTTCGAAGAAAGTTTTAATTGTTTCTTTAGCCGCACATCGGAAGATGATGCCAGAACTATATTTCAAGCAGCCAGGAGCAATGTGAAACACTGTTCTCTAATTTATGTTGCCTGGGCCCAATTTGAACTACTTAACAGTAAGTGAAATGCTATATGATATAAAATAATTCTTACCTAAAAATGTTATGCTAAATATGCCATGCTACATTCGTATTCATATAGCTAGTAGTCTAATTGGATAGGTTTAGATTTGACTTCCACTACCGCTGCCATTAACCAGTCAGATACATTTAATCTATCCGATTAAACAACCAAATGTGTACTGAGCAAGGAGAGGTGGTGACATTATGGAAGTCAAGTTTGTACCTCTCTAGGCGTAAAAAAAATAACCTGTGGTTCCGGTTTCATATCGTGAAAAAATTAGGGTCGGTAGGTCGGAAATTAATTTTTTTTTTGAATATTTTTTTCATGGTTTTGGCGGTTTTTTGCTGGGCGATTTGCAGTAGAGTCCCGACATCAATGTTAACTAGAAATGCGTATTTCCTATGGACGAATTTAGGCATTTTGGTTCAATAATTAGTGTGACAACAGACGCCATTTTGGCAAGCTGTATGAGCAGCCCGCAACCACCTGGAGAAAATAGGGTCGCACGGTCAATCACGTTGAAAAATTAATAGGGTCGGCAGAAAAAAATAGGGTCGGTCGGGAACCGGAACCACAGGTATTTTTTTTTACGCCCTATTACCCTGAAACAGATGCGTTTTCTGCCCTTAATGAAATAAATATAGTGTCATATTCAACCCAGAATTCCGAGATCTATATCGCAGCTTTTTATTGATTTCAAGAAAAAATCGCTATCCGGCCTTCGTACAACACTATTTTCATTTGTGTTTTATGCAGCATGAATGATTAAAGTCCTACGCAAGAATTTTTTATGATTGAATTGCAAAGTTCATTTAAAATCATAATGTAACTTATTTTCTAAAACTATGTCAAGATTTTCGACTTTGTTTGATATGACTTTTGTTTGATATGACGTCACACTGCATAATGAGTTTTTAGAAAGACAATGTTTCCTGGCCAAACATGTGATAATTCCACTGACATTGAAAGTTATATTTCTTATATACAGAACTGTCATAAAGCTATCATTTTGTATGCAAATTTGAGTGACAATTTTATCAAGCTAAAAAACAGTCTTCTGTAAAATACATTATGCAGTGTGACGTCATTTAAGTCATATTTGCATGCCAAACAATGTTCAATATCTTAATATACAGGAAAGATAAAAAAGTTTTAGAAAAAAAGTTACTTTATGATTTCAAATGAACTTTGCAATTCAATCATAAAAAATTCTTGCAATTCACTTTAATGCCAATATTAGAAATTAACTTTCAGCCGAAAGTTGGCCGGCCGTCTATTAATGTTCTGCATTTTTTGTTTGGCAGATAATCGAAAGAAATGTATAAAGTTATTGGAGAAGGGCAAACAGTTTTGTGCCAAGCCTGGATATCTCCTGGACATAGCATTGGAGAACTTTAAGAGCGGAAATGACCAATTGATTGACGATGAAACTGAAGAGTATACATTCACTGAACTCATCAACACGAATGTGTGTAAAACAGAGGATTTGACTGATCGTCTTGTTAAAACCAAACAACGGACGTCTGACTCGTCAAGTGAGAGTACCTCTTCATCTATTGGAGCGTTTTCTCCAGACAGCGCGCATCTAACTGAATCTTCTGAGGAAAGTGATGATGTCATTTTCCTGAAAAATGTAAAACCTTTAAGGTCAACAAATCTGTCTTCCATAGATGAAGGCCAACCTGCCTGTATATCACCGAAAGAGGATGTTGAACAAAATATTACATCGGTTAGCACAACTACATCTTATGGTAAGGTTTGATATATACAGTACAGACTGATCTTGAAGGATATAGGAAAAATGTAGCAAGAAATACTACCAGAAAAATATAACAAGAAGTACTTCGGCGTTTCCAGCGATCCCATGAACGTATCTGCACACTTGTACCCCAAACATTCGATATACTAATAGGTGGAAATATGTTGTTGCAAGGTAGCAACAATCGACTGCACTCGCAATATTTATTACAGCAAAATCTTACATTACATTATTATTCAGCTCACTCTCCATTGAGACTATTCAGTGACCGATTACATCAAGTATTACGCTTACATGTACTTATGTTACTTACTTACACGCGTAAAAACGCTCAGGTTGATGCAATACTGGTGAAAACAGGATTGAACAATGTTTTAATTGCTGCCCACATTGTTCATAGCTGTCAACAAAATTGAACAATACTGTTACACCCGATTCAGGCTCAACAACATTGTTCAATATTGTTGACAAGTGTGAACAACGTGGGCAGCAAAGTATTGTTCAGTCCTGTTGAGCAACGGACTCGGCGTTTTTTGCCGTGTAGCCTACACGGCTAAAAACGCACAGGTTGTTCCAAGTTGATATCGACAGGCGTGAACAATGTGCGGCCAACTATGAACAAGTTGTCAAACATGTTGTTCCAAGTTGTTACAGTTGTAACAATGCTGTAACAACATGTTGACAATACAGTTCATAGTGGGCCGCACAACCTTGTTCACGCCTGTTGATTTTACGAAAGCCACCGAACTGTGGAATCGCATCAAAAATTCGTATACCGGCCGCTCCCACAAACGTCTACGACCGCACCTACATAGTTGTGTATATTTACAATTCTAATTTTGTACAGCCAATCAGGTTCTTGGTAACAATTACAATTAAACGTCGATTGGCTGTTTAAAATTAGAATTGTAAACATGCAAAAATATGTAGGCGCGGCCGTAGACGTTTGTGGGAGTGGTCGATATACCAATTTTTGATGCGATTCCACAGTTCGGTGACTTTCGTAATATCAACCTGGAACATGTTGTCGATTTTCTCAATTTTTACGCGTGTAGACTACAGTACTTATCTTTACAATAATTGTGATTAAGCCGCTTGCCCTGACGACTGCACCACCGACGCCCCTATTATATATACAGTATACTTGTAACTTTGACACTCTAATGTCTTTTTAAAGGTAGAAAAATAGGCCAGCCAAATGCAACGACCTTCCATAGTTCATTCTTGAATGATATTTTAAAAGAAAAACAGTTAAACTTAGCAACACTTTCCAAGCCGGCGGTATCGATTGAAGAAAATGTTACCTGTGGAAATAACCATACAACAATTAAACCTTCTTCCAATGAAATAACACCGCAACAGCTTACAACGCAATGTTCCACTGAGGTGGAATTTAAAGTTCCAAATTTAAAGTGCTCAAATGCAAAAAATATTTTCGATACTACACCATCTGAACCCAGAAAAGAGAACTTCGAGGAACCTGCTTTTCCTGTGTTCCGAAGCACAAGAAGTAAAGGTCATTCAGCAAGCAGTAGTGAAAGTGGTGATGATATTGATGCACTTTCTTCTTTAAAGAAATCATTGTTAAATATTGGAAATAAGACTGGTTTAATGGATTTTGCAACTCCGCGAAATAAAAGTTCAGACCAGATTCTGGCAACAACGACAGACAGTAAGTGTTTCATATTCATTACATTCAATAACCCTTCCGAAAAGTACTCTTCCTTGGCTGTGGAGCCTCGTTTTCGTGATCGAACTATAGACCCATTGCACTCACGTCACAAATCCTTAGAGTGTCCTCCAGATGCTCCCTAACAATATCTATTCCGGTACAACAACCGCATACAGCGCAAAAATTGACCATTTTAACACAAAGTTATTATAAAGTTTTACAAAATTTGCTTTGTTTACAAAAGTTAAATTATGCATAGATTGCTAATTTGTCCTCCAGATGCATCATCACCGGCGCTGTGACGTCATGTGCAATGGGTCTATTGACTTCAACATTATTGTTATTATTATAATAATATCCATATAATAGGACGCGAATTTGTGGTTGTAGTCAACTGGTACAGTGTTGGTTACAGCGCTTCACCGGAATCGCAGGGCCACAGGTTCAGGCTTTTCCATAACTATATACCCGTCTTTTCCATAATTATCCGTATTTTCCATTAATGCCCCCATTATGCCCGTCTTTTTTTACACAACCGCCACTGTTTTCCATTACTACTCATGTCGTGTGTCCGTCCCGCGTTTTCCAATACGCAGGACCCCGTAAAAAACGGCTTTCTGAAATTCTTATTTTTCAAAAATGCCCGTCCATAGATTGGACATTTGAATTGTCTCCCTGCAAAATGCCAATCTCAATATCAGATAAAAATATATTTCTTCCCCAAATGTCTATTTCTCTATGTTTATCGACTACTGTTAGAGCTGTGCAAACTTCAAAACTCCTGCTTCAAAACGGCAAGCAAATTTTAAGGAAATTTTCATATTTAAATGTAGAAGCAGGCGAAAGTATTTCAGTGTATGTAATTTCAGAATTTATTTTATTACTTTTTGAGCTTTCTCCTTTACTTATCAAATATACATGTACATGCTTCGGTGCTTGTTTAAACAATGTTTTGTAGCAAGTAAAACCGCATGGCAGCGTGGTATTTTCGCCCAGATTACATCGGGGTCAGCGGATTTTTGTATCAAAAGCGATAGCAATAAACTTTATAGCAGCTTCAAATCATTCCACTTAATTTTTCCATTACCAAAAGTTCATTGAAATATGAAATAATTATTCATAATTTTGTCTGCCGGAGTTTTCCGGCTACGGCAAAATAAGCCGGAGCTTCGTTACTCCGGCGCACAGCTCTAACTATTGTCGACCTTACACATCAGAAAAATCACCATTGGTATTTTAGCTGTCCCACTGTGCATGTAATCACTTTGGACCCAAAAGACTGGAATTGTTGCGCTTATCCGGGCTTTCGTCCGACATTTATTACCATGCATGTGTGTTATTGAAAATGTTCTAAGGTAAATTGCCCATGTACTACTTACTACAAGTAATATCCAACTTTTCGCTGACTTAAAATAAGATTGAAAGCACAAATACTGCTGAAATACAGTCCTGAATTTGGGGGATATTCTTTGGCAGGGTCATATAACCGTCATAACGATTTAAATCGTACAATTTAAATTTTTAAAAATTAGATAACATTGTCGGTGGTTCTTTGGTAAAGGAACGAAAATCCAATAGAAGAACAAACCGTTCAGTTTTTGTTGGATTGCCGAAAAGAGTTCCCAAACCGATGAAGGATGAATCTAGAGCTAGAAAGGGAGAGCAAGAACGTACAAATGGCACAAATACTGGAATGATTGAATCCCTCATTCAGACAAAAGAAAATGATTCTATTGATGGCGTTTATGCTTTCCCTCAAGGTAACAAAACCAGCGATGCTAAAACTACACATTGAAACGAGGTTCAGAACATCTTTTCTCGACTGTGTTTCTAACTTAAAACTTGATTCGAGTAATTCTTGTGTCAAAAATGTCGACAGAACTACCTGCTTCAAACAAGTAGGACCTTGGCAATATAATAAAGAAAATGTTTTCAGACTTGAATGTAATTCAAATGTTCCTTCACGTCTTACTAAACTGTCAGATGAAAGTAAATACTTATATGCAAATACTTATGGGTCGGTCATTCAAAGCTGGATTAGCGCTAACCCTGGGTTAACATTTAACCTGCGGTTTTGGTTTGGGTACATCTGCACTTCTCTTTATTTCAAAATATTGGAAAATAGAACTTCTATTGATTCAGACAAGAATTGTGGTAAAATATTTCCATGTTTTTATATACAACTGTTTGGAAGTTTGCTTTGAAATTTTCGTTAACCTTGGATTAACCTGCTTTCGAACAACCCGTCCCAATAATGTTAAGTTAGATTATTGTGCCTCAAAGAAAATTGTTAATCAGTAGAAGTCTTGAAAGTCCTGGTATTAATTTCCTTAACCCTCCGGGCCAACCGTAGTGATTTTGATTAAAATTACTGAATAAAGTGAATTATTTACGGCAAATCCGTGCCATTTTCATAGATGTTTGAAATTTCTGAAGTCTTTGAATTTACTAAAAAAGGGCCTTGAGAGTCCTGGAAAAGTCCTTGAATTTCACCTTCAACAAAGGGTGGACACCCTGCACTAAATTATCTGTATGGGTTTGATCATAATCGTCACACTCTTTCTCATAATCTTTCAGATCCTCCAGTTGACCGACATATTGAAGCTAATTTGAAGCATAATGGTAACGCATCAACCCAAATTTACAGTTCTCAGGTTGGATCTGACTTACGACAACGAATGCCTTTAGCGAGCATTGCTCTGAATGCAAACAAAAACATTCCAACAAATTTAGAGTCTCCCCAGTATAAGCTGCAGAATGCTGTTCGACACGGTGCTAATCTAGCTCAGGCTGTTCCTGAGGTTTGCCCGAAGAAGAATATTGATTCCGTTGCATATACATCTAATTGGAAAAGGTTAGAAAATGATCTCTCTCATAGTGATATCCCCAAGTTTAATCCATTTTGCCACTCGACACCAGCAACAGAAAAGGCTAATGCAATACCAACACGAATTTCTACACAAAGTGCTCCTCAGGAAACGAATTTCACGATATATCCACTTTCCAAACCTCAATTACAGAAACAGAATGAGACCGCAAGTGGTGTTTATGTTTCTACTGGTGAAGAGTCGTGCAAAGATTCAGGTCCAAATTTCCAATCTGTTCAATCCAACCAAACTTTGAGCAGCAACAATAGCTCACACCTTGCTATCTGTACACCAAATAACATTGTAAACCACCCCGAGGATTCTGCTGAAGTAAAAACTTCCAGTACTTCAGTTAGCAATGATAGCAGGTTGAAATCTGTCTCTTTGACACTACCCAATAGTAGCATTTCTATGAATTCACGTTGTGCAAATTCAGGACATTCACAATTGAACAATTCAATATCAGGATTTCAATCTGATATGAAAGATGTTTCACGGATGTCTGGAGAAAATCATAGTACAATCCAAAGTATTACAGTCAATGGCAAAGTGTACCGCAAATTAAACATTATTGGAAGAGGAGGATCCAGTGAGGTAAGAGAGGGACTATGTTTATCACTCTACTTTCTTTACTGAGTGATCCTTATAAAGGGTATTGTCTAATAGATTTAAGTGTGTTTAAGACCTGTTTTATACGTCGAATTTTGGTCGCGTCGAATGCAGTTAAGACAATAGATAATGAGATGATAAACCCATTTGACCCAACCGAAATTCGACGTATAAAACAGGCCTAAAATTAAAATCGATTTTCTACTAGCGATTTTTTTCGCGCGAAGCGACCTTTTTCCTTTGTCGGCAACCATTTTGCCACGTCTTGCTGACGTAATAAGTGATACTGACAAAGGAAAAAGGTCGCTTCGCGCGAGAAAATTCGCTAGTGGAAAACCGGCTTAAAAGTAATTTTACAATTTGTTTTGAAAGTGTAAGATAGTGGCTGGCCGGTCAGCCACTGAGTGATCTTACGCTAAACAAGGATGTAAATTGTAAAGATGATGACATCGGGTCGAGCACTTTGACGATTCGTAGTTGGCCTACTTGATTTTCGGAAACTTTCGTTCATGCATTAGGCTGCCATTTATATAAAAATCTCAGCGAAGGGCGAATTTAGTGAAAAACCCGACGATTTGGCAGAAATGCTCGAAGGAATTTTTCGGAAAGTGGACTGCTTAAATGTTTACGGTCGGAAACGTTGGCGTCAAACAATACATGCATTCCTGCCATTATTTATCATTGTTTACCAGAAATTTCTTTTTATGATTTGATGTCGAAGCTATTTCCGATTTTTTGTTGAGTAAAATTTGTTTGTTTTTTTCTTCAAAATACAGAGTTTATTTATATAGCATTACGTTTCGTTTTCGTGGTTCTTGTATAAGCGAATTTGTGTGAATTACAGGTATACTACGAAAACCAATATTTTTTAATCTTGTTTAGGTATACACAGTATTTGATTCCGACTACGCTCAGTACGCCCTGAAATATGTGGACATAAAACATGCTGATGCTTCCGCAGTCGAAAGTTACGTCAATGAAATTACCTTACTGAAGAGATTGCAGGGGCACGAAAGTATTATTAAATTATGTGATTGGTGAGTTTTTAGTGAAATCTTTAGCAATTTTCAAAAAATCTCGAAACTAGTGAATGTCATGATAAAAATCGTAAATCTTTGTCAGGAGAGTTAGTTAGTAAGACTCTAAACGTCTTTGCTCGAAATAACCTGAGTATCAGGCCCTTATGTTTTCATTCGCCAGGATTAATTGGCGGCGGCGAATGAAGGAGGGCCTGATACAATTCTTTACCGCGGCGCATGTAAAAAGCCAGATTCTGGCTTTTTCGTCTGATTGGCCGATTAGACAAACGATATTTTAAATCTGTCATTTGATTGGCTGGTGCTAATTAGATCATACTATTGTTGTTGATATGTACTATTTAAAGCACTTGTAGTCGTGTTTTATCAGATATAAATCGCGAGGCGCAGCCGAGCGTTTTATATCTGATAAAACACGACTACAAGTGCTTTAAATGGCTTAAAAAATGACTCATCTTATATGAGTTCATTGGCGAGTAATTCTTAAAATAAACTTTGTCTAAACCGAGAAAATCAAAGCTAAAGTTTATGTAAATTAACATGATTTTTTATCACATATAAAGATACGACACGCTTATGATTTTTCTTTGTGTTTTACTCCTGAATTATTAATGAGTTTTTAAAATTTTATTTAAACGATCACAACTACAATTATAGCCTGCCCACTAAACGGCCGAATTTAAATTAAAACTGCAGTAAAATTAGAAAATAATCGCAAATTAGCGAAATATATTGCAAATGTAGCTTATATTAAATCGCCATCAGATTGCACTATGGACTAACTGACGTATAGTTATAAAGTATACTTTATAATTACATGTCAGTTTGTTGATAAATACGGTAAGCGCCATGTAAAGCTCGTTGTAGTCACTGAAACCTCTGTGGAGTTTGGGTGGCGATTTAATATAACCTACATTTGCAATATACTTTGCTAATTTGTGATTATTTTTGTTAATTTTATAAGTTCATTGCAGTTTTAATTTAAATTCAGCCGTTTAGTGGGCTGCCTATGTTATAATTAGATCGTTGTTGTCGTTGTGTGAAATTTATTTAAATTTCTCCTGCGACATTTTGATTGGATACTAAATATAAACTTTGCTGTGGGTGGAAAGCGATCAGGTTAAGTTTTGTGTCAGGTTCTATTTGTAAAATAGAGCCTGATATTCAGGTTATGCTCGAAACGTCTTGAAGTACTTCTTCTCATTCCGAACCGTGAAATTGAAAAGAAGTTTTATTTAACAATTAGTCCGCCGAAGGCGAGGTGATTACAAGCCTATATTCGCTGAGTCGAAAGAGAAGTGAATATACACCCTTTTCATAAATGGCTGCCGATTAAAAATTCTTTTATGTGGATATAAATTGGCCCAACTATCCTCGTACTCATGTTAAGATTTCAAAGGAATTTCTACTCAGAAGCGAAAGTAGTTGGGCCAATTTATATACACATACTAGAAAATACATGCATGCAGAAACCCCCGCCTTGCTGACAAAACCATTGTATTTTCCGAACATGACGTATCTAAAGTAGTTGTCATGGGAACACGATAATGTTTTAAGAATATTCATACAAATGAAAAATCGCCTAAAAATATCACTTTTAATTAAAAAATTATCAATTTCCCAAATATATATGTTAGGTATGATATTATACGTAATATAATCTTCAATTTAAGGTAAGATTCAAACACAAACGCTTCGCAAAACGTTTTAAAGTCACTAGTGTTCTTTATAAAACTAAACTGCCTTTGAAAATGGCTTTATCGATAAACTTTGAGTTTGCAATATAAAATGATTTCAAATTCATGCTTGCAAATAACTTTTCTTTCTTTTTTATTTAAAAAGTTCAATATCATAAAAAAGGGAATCAGTATTAAAGATACACTGAAAATATATGCTGTCTTGTTTAGTTGTTTCATATACGCTAAGGCCGTCGGGTTTTAAAGCCATTATAAAATCAGTATTTAAAACAAACTTACCTTCGTTAACGTCGGCTTCCTACTTTTAGCCGATTGTTTCGCAGTTTCTTTCCGAGAGAGCTTTTGAAATTTACAAAAATGCGAGCAAAAATGAAATCTACAGTATTTGCAAGAAATTTATCAATCATCAAATCAAGAAATGTTTGATATTTCGCTGTCGTCATGCAGTCGTTATAATGCAAACTTTAAATTGGACCAATCAGTGTCCGCTATTCATGACAGTCCGCCATATATTTGAGATCAGTGAGGATGACCACCCACGGTTGGTCACCACTGTTGGTCACCCACGCCCGCGATATTTGATGAACTTTAGACTCCGCTAATGCTTTCGTTTCCCCGGGTGTAAATAGCCGGGGGGAATTAGTACCCTCGCACGGCGCTTCGCGCCGTCGACTCGGGGAAAATAATTTTTAACCGGCAGCCATTTATGAAAAGGGTGTATAGGCTTGTAATCGCCTGAGGCGATTAATTGTTTTAGTATAATTTCGCTATTGAAAAAGATTTATTTATAATTACAGCTAATACACGTGTTTACAGCCACTTTTTGGGAAAAGAAATAGTTACTCTTACTTTCTCATTATACTTACTCATAAAATATTTGAATGTTCAAAAGAGCAGAACGTTCGAAACATAATTGTTTCGGTACGTAAATAGTCCTAAGAATCTTCGAAACAAATTCCACATCTACTTTATCTGCCGTCGCCATATTTACTCGCCCCCGATCTACATGCCACACCGCATTGTCTCCCCCTGTAAATATAATAAGTATGCAAGGAAAAATTAAGGAGAAATAGAAAGTGGGAACATCGTGGGCTTGTCATCATTTTGAGCGAATCAGCCTTCGCAATCTTGTATCACATGACCAATGCAAATTGTCATAAGCAGGAAGCAACATCACGTCATTACTACGTCACAACGCTTTCGGTTTATAGCTAGCCTGCATGGCAGGCGGTCTAAAATACCGCCTGCTGGGTTTGACAGTGTAATTTGATAACCGCCCACTTTTTTGTCCGAGTCCAATTAGCCAATCAGCAAACACTAAATATATTTATAATCAAACTGTCAAACTATGTTGTTGTTTGGTCGCAAAATTGCAAATGTATAAAAATATGTCGACAAGAGGTAGAAAAGCAAGCGCGGAAAATGTAAATGAGTTGTCGTTTGTTTAAGTGTGCTTTGAAATTAAAATACGGGGCAATACGCCAATAGAGAAAATATCTTATATTCTTATATATCGTTGGAGAAATTATTTATTTAAGGCAAGCAAAAGAAACGTTACGACAGTGGTAAAACCTTGGCCGAAATAAGCCGAATTGCCGGTTCAGTTCATTTAGGAATCGAAGTTAATTCTACCTCGGAACTATCCGACCAAGTTTGTAAACCGTGTGAGCGAAATATCCGAAATGCAAGCGAACTGATTGCCATAATCAAACGAGACATAAACGCGTTGCCTGTGTACGTTCGAACAAATAGACAGTTGTATATTAAAAACCTCAGTTGCCAATATGAACTGTCTCGTCTCCCTAACGAAGCCGTGTGGTAACGAAAGTTCAGAAAGTGAAGCGGCTTTTAATAGGCATAGGTGTAATAGTCCTGTTATAAAACCCGTTGCAAGAAAGTCTATACGGCCGTCTGTATCTGGTCTCGTTATATTTTCTCGCGCCAACAAGAACGATGTAAAAATCAAGCTTTTCCCATAGAATGGCCAAAACATTCTTTCCAAAGAGTAAATCTTTAACTGCTATCTCTTAGTGCTCGCGTTTGACAATCAGTTCGCGTTTCGACTTTCGAGAAGCGTTCAGTTCTACAACACCTATTAATTAAAGCGAACGCATCCATCATTAAAGTGTCAAACGTATGTTTACATATTAAAGTGCATTCACTTTTGAGTGACAGCGGCTCAGACTCGCAGCCAATCATCAATTCCCGTCCACTGGTGGACGGGGAATTCGATTACACTGCCAAACCCAGCAGGCGGTATTTCCCAGGCTTGCCCAATTTTAGGAACCGCCTGCCATGCAGGCTACCCCCCCCCCCCAACTTCAGATGCTTTGCTATGTTCCTGTAGACTGACGTGTACAATAGTCGAAAAACTAATAAAAATTTGCCGAAAGGATTTTTAAAATGGCCGAAAAAAGACAAATTTTGAGCCTTATCCTAAGCACGCTGTTGCCATGGTAACAGACTTTCTGCGCAAAAGTAGCACATTGCAATATTCAATGGCATGTTGTAAAAGACGGACTGGACTGGACCGGACTGGACTGGACTGGACCGGGAAAACGCGGACTGAGTCCGTGTTTTACAAATCGCGGACTGAATTTGTAAAACACGGACTGGACTGGACTGGACCGGGAAAACACGGACTGAGTCCGTGTTTTACAAATCGCGAACTAAGATTTGTAAAACGCGGACTGAGTCCGTGTTTTACAAATCGCGGGCTGCGATTTGTAAAAGGTGGACTCATTTACTGAATGCACTAAGGATGAACGGTCGCAGTAAAGTATGGTCTATTCTCATGACAAAGTTCAATGTTTTTACCGAGAAACTTCAATGTTTTTGATGATCATTTATGGTCATTTGGTGGTTTCAAAGCTTGGATCTGGTTGTTCAACGGGTTAAAATCAGATCAGAACCTGTCAAGTACTCTTGACAAATATCGAAGATTCTCACGCGAATAGGCAATATTTTTATCAACGACCTCACCGTTCATCCTGCAAGCGACGGTACATGGACTCAGTCCTGTACTGACTCAGTCGTAAAAGTTTTGGCGGGAATTGCACTCAGTCGTGAGAGTTTTGGCGGGAATTGCGGATATTAATAGATTGGTCAAGGAATAATCATATCCTGGAGCTACGGTTGGTAAAAATTACTATTATTTATTGTTTTGAATAAATCAACGATTTTAAATGATAGAATGTTGAGTTAAGTAATTTACAGGGCTTTCAGAGGGAATTTATAGAATTTATATTGGTCCAAAAATAAGGGTTTAAGCCATGTTTTAACAGGAATTGGCAGACACCCCCCG